AAAGATGTAATTTTTTAAAGAATTATAACACCAAAATCATATTTTTAGCTGTTGTAGTTTTAAAGTTATGAATTTTTAAAGTACGACTTGGTTTGTCATTTTTTAACATGGACTGCATCTCCACATTCTGTGATCTCATTCCACCAATCCCGTCATGCGCAATGACTATATAGTTTATATAAGGCAACGCATTCCCTGCCTTATCACTAAAATACTGTTTAGACTTAGTTTAAACTTTCAACTTTGGCACATGAATAATTAATTAAAGCTTTCCCTGACCAATGGTTTAATAGTTTTTGCACACGGCAAACTCTTATGAATGAAACTCTGAGGTAGTACTACGATACAGTTATGCAAGTGGCTGTGAATGGTTGCCAATGACAACGTGTTGCACACGGTAAATTCTGATCATTTATAATATGGATTCTACCGGGTTGTTAAAGCTCAAATTAAAACATTCCAGTTTAAATGTCTTTAAATGCATTCTGAAACACAAGTTATCAATTATTTTGATGTAAATAGTGATAATAAATTAATATTTCCTAAGTATCGTCAACTTCCGCCATTTAAAAGGGGGGCGTGGCCAACCCCATGGCGAAATTAGGTTGAGCGAGCTGCATAACCTGCTGCGAACGCGTAGAAACATGGCGTCTCTCGTAAGACACTTATCCAAATGGAACGGAACTCAAATATATATCGAAAGTACTAATTTAATAATAAATAGACACACACATCGGAAAATTAAAAACTCGGATTTTTTGGCGCCGATTGCGAATTCCCATACACAAAAAGTAGTAGTCCACCTTGACTTACCGAAGTATCTACCAATAGTACCAAAATCCGGAATCCGGGAGAAACCGGTATCCGGATCCGGCGGATTTCGCATAAGAAAATCCGGATCCGGTTGGAAAAAACGGATCCGGCACACCCCTAATGTCTTCAAACTTCAATGCAATTCTAGACGATATTGTTCAATTTTGGTCATTACAGTAGCGGAGGACCTTTAAAGAAATAAGTATGTTTTTATTCAAAATAATTGTTTTATTGGAAGTGTGAAATAATGTATAATATTTTTTGAATTAAAAGTTTTTTAGGCTAATTCAGATTGATTAGGTTTAGGGATACATTTTAAGGTTCATGTTAGGTTTAGGGATACATTTAGGGTTCAGGTTAGTTTAGGGATACATTTAGGACATAAGTTCGTGGGTCATGATAACCAAGATGGCGGCCGCGGGTTGATCTATCCGAATCGTTTTTAGCCATTTTTTTAAATTCAAAAGAACATTTGTTTTATAGGAAAAGTGAATATAATAATAATTTGTGCGGTGAATTAAAATTGAGGGCTATTGTTGAGACTAATACCCATGACGTCATTTGCGTGTGTCATTTGCGTGTTTAATAAATATTTGTGCATGAGTTATTCCCCTTTATTCATTTTATAGTTGGCGGAATTGATGATGATAGGAATTTGAATTGGTTTTTAATTGGTTGATTATTTATAATTTTAAATTATCATTGGTTGGCCTAGTGCCGGCAGTTGTGCTGCTACCATCTTTTCAACATGTTGGCCTAGTGGTGCTCCTATTATTTGTGCATATTTTTTTTTATTTGGAACCTGTAATAAAGTGTGTAAAAGTGGACTAAAAGTGTGTATTTCATACAACTGTAAGTTGGGTTTTCATTATTTCTTGGTTTTATAATTATTTTTGTGTTCATTTTCAAATTCCATGTGTTTTTTTTTACGGCTGCTAACCGTTGCTGCTTACTTGTGGCCTTTGGCTTTGGGTTAGGTTCAGAAATGCATGGTAATGAACGATTTTAAAAAGCAACACAAAACAATGAAATTTTCAAATGATAATAATTCGTTATTTTACGAATCAAGATTTTGGGTATTTTGAACTTACCGCCGGACACAGGACCACAATAAGACAGTGACGTAATATTTAATCACACCTTTCTAGATCCGCATGATGTTCAAGTCATCAATATTTCTATATTATATGAATCAAGATTTTGGGTATTTTGAACTTACCGCCGGAGCACAATAAGACGACAGCAGTGACAGTGACTTAATATTTAATCACACCTTTCTAGATCCGCATGATTTTCAAGTACCATATACGAAAATTAATTGGGGATGTTTCTGATTTTGGTATTTACAGTGGGGGAGACCCCCAGTCGTTTCATAACACGTTTTTTGCACTACGTTTTGGCCGCCATCTTGGTTGACACTTCACGTGACTTCACGTGGAGCGTCAACTGAGATGGCGACCATGATGGGAAACCCCGGGTATCAATCTCAACATTTACCGGTAAATGATGAGAGTGGTACCCGGGGTTTCCCAAGCATGGCCGCCATCTTTGTTGACATGATCCGTGAGAAGGTCACGGATCATGTCAACCAAGATGGCGGCCGACCCAAAAAAAAAAGTAGTGCAAAGACACGTATTGTACAAAAAGGGAACGGTTGGGGAGAATGCGTTTTATCAAAAAACTTACCGAAAGATCGAAAATAAGCAATATTACAAGAAAATTTAATTTTCAAGATAGGAAAACACACAAATATATAGTAATCTGTGAAAAATATTTTAAAGAAAATGTAAAATGTAAAGAAATGGAAGAAAAAAAAATTTTCGGAAAAAAATAAAAAATCAACGAAAAATTTGGTTTTGTAATTTTAAAAAAATTGTAAAAAACTATTACATTTTGAAATTTAAGAAAAATTATTTTAAAAAAAATTTGTAAAAAACGAGTAAAATTTGAATTTTTTTTTTTTGAAACTTTTGAAAAATGAGCAAAAATTTGATAGCGCAAATCCCTAACCTGGATCCTAAACCCTAAACCCTATCCCTAAACCTAACCCTAAACCCAAACCTAACCCTGACCCTAAACCTAACCCTAAACCTAACCCTAACCCTAAACCTGACCCTAAACCTAACCCTAAACCTAACCCTGACCCTAACCCTGACCCTAAACCTAACCCTAAACCTAAACCCTAAACCCTAACCTTAACCCTAAAATTCAGAAATGCATGGTAATGGACGATTTTAAAAAGCAACAAAAAACAATGAAATTTTCAAATGATAATTCGTTATTTTACTCACTCTTTACGAATCAAGATCTCGTAAATGGGGCGGATACACAATTTTTATGACATTTAAAAATTCCCTCATTTGATCTTTATTGCCACACGAGCTTTGCCACATATATTCATATAGATATGAGTCGAACTGCTCCTCCCCATGACAATTTTGGATATTTTGAACTTACCGCCGGACACCGGAGCACAATAACTGCTGTCACTGCATTATAAATTAGTGTGGAAACTAGATCCGCATGATTTTCAAGTACCATATACGAAAATTAATTTCTCTATTTTTCATCAATATTTCTAACATTCTGACAATTCCACACTCTCTGCATGAATTCCAAAAACATAAAATTTCAGTTTTAAAACCACAAAATTTAACTTTTCTTTGAATCTTCGTTAATTATTCACACGAAATCTTGTTCCAACCGGTTATTAAAATATTCCTTCGCCGCCACCACTTCCGACACTTCATCCAATAAAATTAACAACAATATCAACAAAGGGGAATGACTCCTGCCTTTCCTTGCACAAATTTTAAATAAATATGCAAATGACGTCATGGGTAATAATAACATAACTAGCCCATTTACCAAATTGAGGTACCCACTTCTGATACCGGGTCCGAATAGCTGCAGCCAAACTTTTCATTACAATTACAGATAAGACAGTACCGGTACCCGGTAGCCATTTTGCCGCCAAAAAAAAAAAAGCAACTTGATTGATGTCATGTTAATGATTATAGAACTATATTTAAAATAGAATTTAAAAATTATAAACATAAACGTATTCTTACTTGCTTTTAGATATACGCACATTGTTATTCGTGTTTTATCAACGCCACATGAAATTCTTCAAAATGAGGCACATCTCGATTGATAATAATGGCTCTAAGATGGCAAAGCAACAGGAAGTATCCGTCATAACTATCACGTGACCAACCGAATAATCTAAAGCCCTCACGTGACCAGCCGGATCCGAATATCCAGTTGCTGCTATGGGTACTCGGGTACCTATAGCCACTCCGTTTTTAAATAGCGAAATAAGCGAACTTAGCGGGTTTTGATTTTAAAAACTAGTAAAATATTGTGAAATAGCACTTCATAGATGAGCCAAGGGGACTAACTCATTTTTTTTCAAAAAATTGACTTAGCAGGGTTTGCAATTGGACTCCTCATATATAAATAATAAATAAAAGAAAATATGGAATGACAAAAATATAGCCCCCAGTGCCAAAATCAGGCTGATGCGCTCATTAGTACTCTCCATGTTCCTGTATTCCTGTGAATCCTGGACATTAACAGCCGATCTTGAAAGGAAAATAAAGGCGATGGAGATGAGATGCTTCAGAAGCATTTTAGGCATCTGCTATAAGGACCATATCTCCAATGATGCCCGGTACAGTGAAAGAAAGGGTTTGTCAGGCAATTAGGGAGTACGATGACCTACTGGTGACTGTGAAAAAACAATGGTCATGTAACAAGGAAACAAGGGCTTGCCAAAGAAATATTGAATATTGCAGGGCACCACAAGAGGAGGGAGAAGAAGAGAAAGACAAAGAAAAAGATGGGAGGATAACATCAAAGAGTGGACAGGACTAACACTGGGCAATGCAGTGCGTAGTGTTGAAGACAGAGAGGAATGGAGAAGGATGGTTCACATGTCATCTGTGGCGCCCCAACGGTCCTAGGACTAAGGGACATGAGGATGAGGAATATATAAATTCAAATGACTCTTAAATACCGATACTGGGAAAATTTCATGGTATGACTTAAAATTATAATATAAATTATGTTATATATAAATATAAACCACTCAAAGTTCAAAGTAATGTGGGTTTTTTTTATATCCACTGGGAGACAGACAATACAAATGAAACATTTTAATCTGTTAAAAACACAACAACAAGGTTGGTTTCTAAGAAGAATATTTTATTCTTAAGAAAATGGACATCTAAGCTATATTGAGTGTAGATGTTTTGTATGAAAGAAAGATGACAACTTCAGAACAAGCAGCTTTTTCTTGATTTCAATAATGATGGCTGTAAATGAGTTACAAATTTAATTAAATTGATTGAATAAATTGTTTTGTAAAACATGCAAAAAAATAATTTTCGGTCCCCGAATGAAATAAAAACTGTCTATTTTGTAAGTACAAATGTAGAAACAAAATTTTGTTATTCAAGCACATCATTTAAGAAATACTTTCATTTTGGTGGAAACACAAATTTTACTTTTCCGAAACTTGCTCTCCAAAATTGTGTAAAACGTCCACAGATTTCTATAGAACATGATCACAGATGCACTCCTGTTAATAAAGTGAAAGAGCTAACCCAGCTATCAATCTAATGATGCAAGACATGATGAGTATAACAGGAAATCATTTAGTCATATTTACACAGTAGATACATGAATTTAATCCCCCCCTTTTAATCTTGTCAGAAAAAAAGAGGAAAGCACTTCAGCCTTTGATTGGTCAGTATTTCTAAAACTGTGAGTTGGACAATTTCATTTATAAGTGGTATCAGTTCTGTAAATTCCATTAATGTTCAAATAACTTTGACATCTTAAAGCTGATTTAATTGTCATAAAGAACCTCACCACAGCTTAACTATGGAACAGTTAACTTTATGTCTCAGTCAGAAAGTCAGAAATGAGTGGCTTTCGACTGAACTGCGAAGGGTTGCTCAGAGTATGAGAGAGACAAATGCGGCTGAAGAAGCAATGGCATATAATAAGTTTGTCCCCTTATGTACAACAAGATTAAAAGAGTTGTTTTTTTTTTACACGTATTAAAAAAAAACAGATAAGTATGCAAGAAATTGAGCATAAGTAGTAAATTATGTTTGTTTTTTTAATTAATTATATTTATCAGTAAAATGATATATTTGATGATAAAAGAATTGACATAATTTGCAATAACTATCAAAACATACATCAATCTTTAACAATTTCATTCCTTCAAAAAAACGAAAAAAAAAAGTTTACTTTAACTGAAACATGCCTGAATTTGATTACCTCTTTTTGGTCAAATGAGTCAATTGTGTAGGTAGATGATACAAAGAAAATTATTGAACAGCATCAATTTTATTGTAAATGAAACCAATGAAAGTAAGAAGCTTTGGCCTGGTTGATAGTACATTTTTTTTTTCTTTCAAGTTAAGAACCAAATTAATAAAGAATCTGGTTTTATAACAAAATAATCACAGATTTATGCTTAGAGCAATTTCATGGTTTAATGTTATGTTGCAAATGAGGATGACACAGGAATCCAGTTATATTCCCTTTACAAGCAATGATGTTTTTTTTTTAACACAGATAGGGTAGCTTTACTTGATTTAATAGTTAAAATATTACATCTGTGTAAAACTACCATCAGTCAAATATGCAGTCAAATAAAAGTTATACAAATATATATTATGTAAAAAAATAAGCATACAAATTTTAGTTCAAATAGATTCTTAAAAATTTTAGGTTTCAGTATTAACTTATCCGAAAGATGGAAATAATTTTAAAGAAATTATAGAAACTCCAGTTAAACTTTCTTTAGATTAACTTCGCCTTCTTCCGTGTTTGAAGAAATGAAAGTGCATCTATTTCAAAGTTATCAAATTAGAAATCAACCCCTAAAATGCTGATGATGTTTTATTCGAAAACTCATATTCTCAAACTAACTCAACTCTAAATAACATACAAATTGAGAGCACATAACTTTTTTTTATAAGGAGATAAATTACAGTGGGATTCACATATAGGACATATATGAATAATAAACAGTTAGAAAGGCGGTTACATTCAATATGGTATAACACTTTTAAATGTTTTTTCTTTCTTTTCTTAAGTATTTATAATTTTCTACATTTTACTATGTAGCACTATTAAGTTCTCTGAAATTGATGAATTCTTTCTATTGCCGAACCCTCTAAAAATCGAAAGAAAAAAATGGGAGAAACAAATATTCAACATTAAAACAACATTAATTCACCTGGTTGTCTAATGTAAAAAACATAAAATTTTAGCTTTTAATTAAAGGCACAGTTCCCAGATTATTATTGTTTAATAAAATATTTATTGAAGACAAGTACAAGCAGGGACAAATACAATGTCAAAGAATAGTTTTTTTTAAAACTTAATATAAAATATACATACAAAACTTTTACCTGAATAAACTTACAATAAGGGCTCATTACAGCCTAAAATAGTATTTTGAATGAAGCTATTTCACATATTTTTACATCGAATACAAGCAACACTGTAAGTTAAAGAATAATTTTTAAAAAGAAATCAGTCATATTATTAAGGTAATTATTTAGGTACATATGTCTAGAGAGAAGAGCTTTATAAATATGCATAGTGTAGAAAGTTTCAAAAATAAAATTGTTAATTATCTGTATGATTTTGGGTCTTGTCTGGCTGACCCCTTAAGTCTTATTGTTAAGCTTTAATTCAGGGGGTGAAACATGAAGTTTCTGATTCTAAAGGAAAAACCATTATTTCTTATTTAAGCTGTAGAGTTCATTTAATAAACTTTAGTGAATTTTTTATCACGACATGAATTATATTTTTAAGCACTTAAACTTAATATTATTCACAAATTTCAGTACAAAAAAAAAAATTGCAGCCCCTGATCATATTATGCTTTATATTAGGAACATACTCAGTGATAGTTTTAGCATGTATAAATGTGTATGATAGATAACAAGGATATGAGTCGAGCTTTTTAAAAATTTTTAACATCAGGGATATCACATCCCTTTAAACCCTTTACCTTTAAGTTTATAATGAGCAAATTTATCATGATGACTCCATAGAAATCATTTATTTAGTCAAACATGGTATGAGTGCATTAACACATTTACCTAAGAAAAATTTGACAGCACTGAGTAACTTTTTATGTAACATAAAAAAGACTGGAAACTTCAGCTTCAACTGTTTACAAGTTGTGCAGTGAGTCTGTTCATGAACATTTTGTGTTGAAGCTTTCCTTTAAATGACCACATTTTGTTGATGAACATTCTCTTTTAAACAAATTGAATAAACCATTGGAATGAGGTACAAGCCTATCTCAACGCTGCACCATTTTAATCTCTTTAAACGGGAGTGATAAAATCCCCCGCCCCTACTACGGTGACCCTCCCCACCCCCCTGCCGGTTCCTGTTCTATTTCTTCATGAAGACGGACAGCATGTCAATGGGGAGTGGGAAGATGATGGTGGAGTTCTTCTCTGCCGAGATGGTGTTCAGAGTCTGGAGGTATCTCAGCTGGAGGGCGGCCGGGGACTGGATCATGATGTCGGCGGCCTCCTTCAGGGATTTGGAGGCCTTCTGCTCACCTTCAGCGGCGATGACCTGACGGAAAAAAGCAAGCAGTAATTTACACAGCTCTACAAATATGTTTAGTTAAGCACACGACAACTGACAGGATCTTTTAGAAGCTGCGTTGGTGAAAATAAATCAAAGTATCGACAACAACAAGATTCACCTCATTCGTTCTAACATGTTTATGTCTTCTGTGATGGGCTTACCTGCGTGTATACCTACTCAAAAACTGATGAATCATGGACCTGCATGCTTTATTCTAGGCTATTATTATTATTTTATTGATATGGCAATACTTATTTGAGGTGTTTTAATATGCTATTCTCTTACATTACATTATTAAACAATTTATTTTTTTTAAAATCTTAATTTGTTAAATTAGGCTTATCATAATTCAAAATGCATTGATAGCCCTTGGAGCAATGAGCATTGTATGTTTCCCTATTCAGGCATCATGCCATCTTGTTGACCAACACACATTATTATTTGTGGCCCCCCTCCAGTAAGGAAATGTGGCCATGTGATAATTTGCTGAGATATGAGTTGAACTTATTTAATGTTGGTATTGTCATTATTTTAACTTGCTAAGCCTATCAGTGAACATTTTAAAAAATATATATATATTATTTAAAATATATGTTTATATTTGTGTGCAAATATATGTGAATGATTCTGTCTTTATATGTTTGATACATTGTTCTGCGTGTATTTATATCCCATGTGTATGTTGCCTGATGGTTCTCTGGTGTATGGCATGAGTGTTGGGATTTCTCTATGGCATTCTCCATTCTCTCACTCTCCTCCCAATTCACTTGGGAATTTCTATAAGGGGAAATATTGCAAGTCATCAATTTTTTATTACTTCTTGTTTGTTAACCGCCCCCCTCCCCCTTTTCCCCCATCAACCTTGTTATGGCCCTTTGCATTCAGTTTCCCTGGCTATGACCTTGTTATGAAAAAAAATCAGGAAAAAAAAGAAGCCCATTTGATGTCACCTTTCAGTTTCATTGGCGCAGTAAAGATGTGTGATTGTTGAGGCCCATTTCATGTCCACTCTCAGCTATATTGGGGCACTAATGATGTGTTATTGTTGAAGCCCATTTCATGTCCACTCTCAGCTATGTTGAGGCCCATTTCATGTCCCCTCTCAGCTATATTTGGGCACTAATGATGTGTGATTGTTGGAGCCCATTTCATGTCTCCTCTCAGCTATGTTGAGGCCCATTTCATGTCCCCTCTCAGCTATATTGAGGCCCATTTCATGTCCCCTCTCAGCTATGTTGAGGCCCATTTCATGTCCTCTCTCAGCTATATTGAGGCCCATTTCATGTTCCCTCTCAGCTATATTGGGGCAGTATAGATGTGTGATTGTTGAGGTCCATTTCATGTCCCCTCTCAGATCCCCTCTCAGCTATGTTGAGGCCCATTTCATGTCCTCTCTCAGCTATATTGAGGCCCATTTCATGTTCCCTCTCAGCTATATTGGGGCAGTAAAGATGTGTGATTGTTGAGGTCCATTTCATGTCCCCTCTCAGCTATGTTGAGGCCCATTTCATGTCCCCTCTCAGCTATATTAAGGCTCATTTCATGTCCCCTCTCAGCTATGTTGAGGCCCATTTCATGTCTTCTCTCAGCTATATTGAGGCCCATTTCATGTCCCCTCTCAGCTATATTGGGGCAGTAAAGATGTGTGATTGTTGAGGCCCATTGCATGTCCCCTCTCAGCTATATTGGGGCAGTAAAGATTTTTTGTATGATTGTTGAAGCCCATTTCATGTAGCCTCTCAACTATATTGGGGCAGTAGTAAAGATTTGAAGTTGTTGAAGCTCAGTTGATGTCCTCCTCTAAATTACATTGGGGGGGGGGGGGGAGGATTAAATAGAGAAGAGGGAGGCAGGAGATGACAATAGTGTTAGTGATATAAATAGCTAGGCTGAATCTCATTGATTTTCTTATTCTGAAATTTAATTTGTTTTCATTTTGTATGAAGAGGAACCATGCTCGTACACCCTCTCTCTCTCTCTCTTAACTCTCTCTCTCTGCCCCCCCCCCCCCTTTTTAAATTAAAAGTTATTTATTTATTATAAATCTTCCTAATCCAGTCCTGACTTCAGGTTTTGCCTAAGATTAGATTTGGAACAAAAATTATCATTTCCCCTGCATTATTTGTCCTATTTCTAACATTTGTGTCTGCTCTAAGGGGGGGGGGGGAGGGGGGGCTGCCCTGCTTCTATATTACACCCCCTCTCCGTCATCCATGGCTGGATTCAACATCTTCCCTCTTCCTCCCAGGCAGTCAATATGGATACAAGTCTTCAATGGTTTACCTCAGCTCCAGCCTCACACACTCGACAACACACAAGTAATCCAACTGACAGAGGGAACTCTATTTACCTTAGCTCTGGCCTCACGGGACGCCTCAGCCTCGGCTGCCATGGCTCGCTGCAGCTGGACAGGCAGACGCACGTCCTTGCTGTGATGTGATGAGAAACAAGATGTTAGTGACACCCAGCGTGAAGTGAAATCACGAGGTCAGTACATGAGAGAATACCTTAATACCTGCATTCATTCTTATTATTGGCATGTCCGTCCATAGGCTACCTTCAAGAGTTTGCTTTTAGATAAGAATTTATTCCAATGAAATAGATTCAGATAGATAAACCCCCAAATTCATTTAAAAATTGAATCTGCTGAGAAGGAAAAAAAAAATGGGGGGGGGGGGGGTTTTTTTTAAAATATAGACCTAAACTGAAATATTTTAAACTAGAATTACATTTTTTGTTTAGAACAGTTTGCCCCTGGGTCAAGCTTTATGAAAAAGATTTCAACAGGTGAAATATAGCCCGGCCTATTATTTTATTTGCCCAACGATTTCATTCTCTGTTCTTTTCGTTCATATTCATTTTATCATGCAACAATACACGTAGCTAACCCCCTACCTCCCCCCCCTCAACGCCCCGACACAATTACTCCCAGTCCACTACAACTACTACTGCTATCACCGTCCCTCTCCCCCTTCTCCTACAACCACTACCGCCCCTCCTCCACAACCACTACCACAGACGATGAGTTTATCTCCGAAGACCTCAGCCGGCTGACAATTAAGGCCGAATTTACAGCCAAAACGGAGAAAGATTGGCCAGAAAGGCTTTGCGTGGGATCAAGTTGGACTAGGGTACTCAACTTACAAAATGCAATACTCGTCAAGATATTGGTTCTAGGACCTGCCAGGGGTGGGGTGTGGGGGGTGGGGAAAGAGAGCGGTCTGTTTCTAGCTCAACGTTTGCCCACCTTTTTTTCCCCATGCCCCCCAAGCCTTTCTCAAATTCTCCCCCCCCCCCTTTTAGTTCTTGACAGGTCCTTGATAAGAAATTTGGCTCTCAAAAATATTTTAATCGTCCTGCTGCCGATTTTTTGTTGTTGTTTTTTTTTTGTTGCTTTTTTTTTGAGTGTGGCTCTTTTGATTAATGAGTTTGCCGACCACTGTCTCCGGGCAACACGAAGAGTAGCGGCCAAAATGTTGTTCTTCACTGTGCTGTAAAGTACCGATGTCTTTAAATAAGGGCCGTCCGCCTTTTGATATGAGTAATGTACACCATGCTCAACAAAGACGGGAAAATAGGGCGGGCGTGGTGACATATCCGGGGAATATCTACACGCCTTGGCTGACCTTATATCTACACGCCTTGGCTGACCTTATATCTACACGCCTTGGCTGACCTTATATCTACCCGCCTTGGCTGACCTTATAGCTACACGCCTTGGCTGACCTTATATCTACGCGCCTTGGCTAACCTTATATCTACACGCCTTGGCTGACCTTATATCTACGCGCCTTGGCTGACCTTATATCTACACGCCTTGGCTGACCTTATATCTACACGCCTTGGCTGACCTTATATCTACACGCCTTGGCTGACCTTATATCTACACGCCTTGGCTGACCTTATATTAGCCTTATAACCTTATTAAGGAGGGAAGCGGTCGTCAACTTTACGCAAAAGTATTTTTTTAAAAATTAATTTTCCCAAAAGTCAACATTTGGTGACATAAATAAACGTCTTGTGAACAAAGCCGCCACAAATAAAACTAGTTTTCAACAAATTATGCTGTAAGTAAGTGAATCATTTGTACACATGTAACAGAAACATGTAACACAGGCAAGCATTTCAAGATAAGCTGGACTCTCCGGCACACCGGGGTTAGTTACAACCCACTGTAACCACACTCCTGAAGAGAGTTCTCCCAGCTTTGAAGCCGATAAACACACAATGTAACTAAACCCTTAAAGACGCATCACGTCACTTGGTTTCAGGTGCACTGAGGACATATTACTAACGGGTGGTGTCAATCGGATATGGTCACCGTCTCAAACATTCAAAAACTTCCCAAGACGTTACACAACTGAAGGGAATGGAGGGGGGGGGGGCGAGTCGTTAAGTTGTTAGCTCCAGCTAAAACGTCATGTAGTGTTGTGTGGTGCCGTGGTTTAGGAAGGTGTGGTGCCGTTATTTAGGACTGTGTGGTGCCGTTATTTAGGACTGTGTGGTGCCGTTGTTTAGGACTGTACTATTTGAGCGCCATTTACTTGGTTTCTTGTTTTAGCCATAAACTAAGATAAAAACATGATTCTCACCATTTTCTCATAAATTTTGTCCAGGGGCGGGCGCTAATAACCCTAGCAGGCAAACAAGAGAAGGGGAGATGGATGCTTCATATAACATAATCAATGAATTTTCATCCCGTATTTATCAAAGATCCCAGTGACTGTTAAAATAGGGAACATAAAAACTATTCGTTATTTTTTCAGCCAAGACGGTTTCTCCCCTTGTTTTCGAAGACCATGCTTTCAATGGTAGAAGTAGAAGCCCCGCGGTCCTTGATATGCATCCCCCATCCGGGGGGGGGGGGGGACAGACTGTCTCCGATCAATAAGGAGTATGAGAAATTAACCCGAGGAAAGCCATAACCTCACAGTTCGCAAATCAAAGTGAGGAGGCCATCACTTTCGTGCAGCTGTATATAGTCGTGACATCGTATTCGTAACATATATCTGTAAACTCTTCGATGACTTGTTACCGCTCATTTAACCAGGTATCTAATTCCCGGTCCGCTCGTCGGGTTTTTTTTTCTTCTCCTCTATGGCTGAATTCACGGCCTCCACTATGCAGGAGGTCTTGTCTGACGTTACAGTAGAGTTTCGTTATTCTCCATTGTGATACGCACCCCATTCGCTGCGCCTTCATTATGACAGCCAGGCTCCAGTGTAAGGGTTTTCCTTTTTCCTACATAACACTATTGGTGATTGCTCTGACTTGTCTACATCTCCACATCCGAGTTGGGGGATTGGGTTGGGGTGGGGGGGGGGGTGGAATTAGGCACGAATTCAGAATGGGGGGCAATTGGGGAGACATAAGGACAGGCAATTAGGGGGGGTGTGAGTTAATTCGGTTTATAAGGGCTTTATTATTTTTTAAAAAACCCACGCTTCACTTTACACGCCAGTATTCTATGAGAGGTGTAGTTCCAAACATGACCGTCTTTCGACATGACTCTCGTTCATGGACGTCATTTCAGTTTTGTTTCACACACACACAAAAAAAGGGGGGGGGGTTTATAAAAAAAAACCAAAACTTGGTCGGCTTGTACTAAGTAGCTTATTACTGGAGGCGCAACAGTAGTAGCAATTTAAATAAATCCAGCAAATTAGTAAATTCAAAGGGGGGGGGCAAATGCCCCACCCAGCCCTGCCCAAATGACGCCCTTGCCGTTGATCCCCACACCACTCTCACAGTTGAGTGATCTCATTTGTAAAATGCCTTAATTTTAATACTAATGATGGCTGGTCAATAATTACGATTATTCGCCGTTAAAAATGCTGGCCACAACCCTAGGTTCCTAAAATATAACAATATATATTTATATAGGCCTATATAATATTTTATTTATATATTTGTATATTTATATATTCGAAATACAATATGCATCTTTAAATGGTCTGAAATACTAAACAAAGATGCAATAATTGAAAGCAATGAATTCAATGAATGTCGTAGCTAGTTAGTGATGGTCAAATCTATCTAACACCAATGAATAAAATGATCAATAAACCATCATGCAGCAGTCAACGTTTACAGCTATTTCATGCGGGGACACTATGCTTTCGTGCAAATATCTGTACAGTTTATTAAAGAGAAAACTGGGATAGAAGAGTTCAAATATCAGGACTAAAGAGGTCACTTCATTACCATTGACAACAACGTGGCTTCAAAATCTAAGTGTTTTGTTTAAAACATAGCTTAGTGCACTTTAAAAATCTGGCTATGGTGATAACGGAAATGTTTACTTCCATACCACCGGTGATAAAGTAATTTACATTACATGATTATTTTCTACGGTTAATATGATGGGTAAATTTCCTGCTCATTTAAGCCATGCTACACCAGGAAAACTATCTTTTTTTTTAAAAACAAGGAAAAAAAGTCCCTTCCGTTTCTTTTTTTTTTCTTTTCACCCGGCGATGAAAATACTTTTAAAAATGTCGATCATTTAAGTAGGGTGTTTAAAATCAACAATGATAATGTCCCTGACATAACAACAAGAAAAATATTATTATGCTGAAATGTTACGTCACGTTTATATTTCGAATATTCTAATTATGTAATAAAATATCTACCCTTGTTTTTTTTTTTTTGTTTTTTTGTAGTAGCCCGTAACTGAAGTCTCCATTAATTTAAATTAGGAAATTTAAATAAGTCTATTACTGATCTGTCATTTGCCATACAGTAATTACATATTATCCTTAAAAAATTATTCTATGGACGTTTCTCTATGAAAGTGTGACTGGAATTTTACAAGAAAAAAATGTACGCTGCGTTCAACGATTTAAGGCACGCATGCGCCTCCAAAGTCATATATCACAATGCATACTTACACTTCTACACGTTCGACCTTCACACCCCATGGGTCAGTGGCCTCGTCCAACGATGTCTGAACATAGGGAAGAGACAAGGAGGCAGGCAAAGTCAACAAAAGTTGATTGATTTTTTTACTCATAAACTGATATAAGTAAAAATAATTTAGAATGCGGAGTTAAAACTAATTTCAGTTTGGTTTGTTATGCCTGCTCCCGCTGAATCTGGACGCTCACAAACCTGACAGTGTTGATGCTGTAGTCCTAATATTTATTTTCCGCTATAAACTACTAATACTACAAAAATGAAACTACTATTATTTAAAGTCTTTGGTCACTTATTGCAGTATAATTTTATTTTAATGCATTCAGATTTTTAAAAATTAATTTTTAATATCAATAATAGAGTCTAAACTGCTCAACTTTTAAATTCTTTTTTAAAGTGTTTGAGTTTGGTAACAAAACTTTTAATATTTTTATTATTATTTATCACTGGATAAACTGAATAGAAAATTTTTCATATTTCACTTTTTCATTTATATTTCAAACATATAAATAAATATCAAATTATATTCAATAAATGACCATTTACAATTAAACAATTACTAAAACCAAAGTTGTAAAATAACTACACCATTTTCTGTCAATTTAAGGGGGTACAAAAATATGTAATACTATTTCAAACACTACTACACAAATATTTGTAAACTCTGTTTTGTTGGTTCCAATTGGCTAGAACAAATGATAAAAAAATGTAAATTATGGTTCATAGAAATAACCATGGAAGTAAGGTTGGGCATGGGATGGTGTGTTAAAAGTAAGTGGACAGGCTGTGGCCATTTGAACATCATCTGGTAGTTAAAAAAAATAAAATAACTGTAATAAATACAAAATTATAGATGGTCATACAACATAAATGACTCTACATCTCAGACAGATCAAGCAGCAATGCCATGCAGTCTTGGAATAATGACGATTAGCAAGACTGTCAAAGAAAGAACTGAATCCAGTCATAGCTGTACCATAGTAAAGAATATTATATGATTGCACGAGCAGAATGGAAAAGTTCAGATATAAATGTCAAATTTCAATATTTAAAAAATGTATGAGCTACTCCAAGATTTTAAAAGAATGTTTTTCTAAAACAATAAATAAAAGGGATTCAAAATAAAAAGGCGAGAAAAAACATTATATTAAAAAAATAATTATTATTTACTATATTGCTTAGATTTGGTGTCCATGCATGGGGGTGATGAAGTATCATTGCAATGTTTAGGTGATTCTATTTTCAAATTTTAATGCTAACCTGGTATTTGATAGCTTTCTAATAGTAGAGTGGTGATTACCAATGGAAAGTTGTTTCAATTAATCAATAACATTTTAATGAAATTCCTTAGCTTACTTTAAATTTAAATAATGTTTTAAAACATAAAATAATACAATTTCATTATGAAATTTTAACAAAAAAATAATAGTTCAATTGGTCTGATTAAGAAAAAAACAAACATTTTCGATGGTATATTTCAACAAAAAAAAAAATCATAAGTTTATTTTTGTTAATAAAATTTTTTTTTTATATATAGGCCTATACATGTAATTTGTGTGGTCACCTATGTTAGCAATAATAATTAGGGATTGCATTTACATAAAAATTAAAAAAACACAGCAGTAAACTGAATTGCAACAAAAAAAAAAGCTCTAGTATATTGTAAAAGTTTAAAATAAAATATGTTTATATCTTTTCAGGCCTTTTGTAAAATGATCTTAAAATAATTTTACTTGACATTTTCATCTGAACTTGAACTGAATTAAAATGATATTGAGACAGCACTTTGGGCTAAACATTTTGGATGCATCCTGCTACAGCCTGTCATCACAGACAGCTTTAGTTGGTATCTAGGAAGGACTTACATCTCAACCCTTTCCACATGAATACCCCAAGGCTCTGTACACTCATCGAGATTGCTCTGAAGAAAATCACATTTGATAGTGGGGGGAGACAAAATTTGTATGAATATAGTTTTTTTGTTAAAAATAATAAGAAGTCTGTGCTGAAAAACAATAAGATTGGGAGGAGGGGGTGGAGGGAACTCTCAGAATAGTCAAATTGGTATTCATTAATGTACCAGTACCTGTATTAGATAACACAGTGAGGTTTTGTCAAAATATCCTTAATTTTAAAGTTTAAAAGCAATTTTTGAAAAGTAATAAATTCCAACATATTATTTTGAGCTTGTTCAAAAAGTTGATTCACTCCATAACAATTACAATGGGCCTGCTGCATTTTGTTTCTGTTCAATTAAAATTGGCTAAAATATTAGGGGTTTTTTCATGACAACGGGCATTGCCGGCGCATAATCAATATGAAGGCTTTTTGGTGGCTACCTATTCAGTTAACATTAGTGAATTCTGGGGAGTATATTTTACTAACAACCACAGAGTTTTCAGTTGCTTGAATATAAAAACCCATCTACCATTTGTTAATTTAAAAACTGGATGATATTTAAATAAAACATGCCCGCTGTTAGGTATCTAACAAAATTATTAATAAATGGCTGCTGACCAATTTTTCATAGACAAGCCTTATGATGGAAAAGTTTCGTTTTGATACGGCTTGAATGAGGACAAATAGGAACGTATTTTCCAAAGGCCTTTATGATTTAGATTTTTTTTTTTTTTGCAATGCTGTATTTTACATGCAGACATTCTAACATGGATTCAGAGTGTCTGATACCCATTACTGATTCATGGAATCGGAATTTTATGTTGGGAGGCCATTATTTTCATAATAAGCGTTTAAACTTTCTTATCAATCGTAGGATGATTTATTTTTCTTCAGTTTTGTCATCCACAGCAATCCTTTATATTAATTATGGGATTCTTGTTTTAAAAGTTGAGTTACCAAAACAAATAGAAATGATGTTAAATAACATTTTGTGTCAATAATAAAAGAGAGCTACAAGTTTCACTTGAAAATAAAATATTCCTACATAATTATAGTATTATAGAAATTAATTGTTGCACACTTGAATGTAACGTTTTGTTTCAGCTGATAAAAGCTATAATATAGAAGTAGTATAAAAAATGTAATGAAATAATTTCTTTTAAGGAAAAAATTGGCTTTGTATAAGATAGAAATTGGCAGGTAAAAAAAAAAAATCTCAGGTAAATCCTTCCTGTGACACAACAAAGACGTACCTGCATCAGGTGGCTGATGTTCTCTCTGTCCGACAGGATCTCACTCAAGTTCTTGGTGCCCAGCACGTTCCTGAGTGTAGTGGCCGCAAGTAGCCTGGTCGAGCGGTTAGCGTCTTCAACATTGGTGATCGACATGGTGGCATTCTTGACCCGGTAGTAGACCACAGCATCCACCGCCACCGTGACAGAATCTCTTGTCAGAACCTGTGTGCACAAGAGACACAGTGTAAGCTTCATTTTTACTTTATAAGGGATCATTATCTGACTGCTGAAAGGACACATTCAATTTCATATTTTTGGAAGAGATTTGAAGAGAGCGGCTAAATAAGAGATTTGAAGGGACCGGTTAAATGTGTATGTTACTTACATTCAGTCAAACAAAACAACTTTTAATTATATCATCTTTACGGTTTGTCAGTCAAACAAAACAGGGTTTAATTATTTCATCCTCATGGTGTATCAATATCAATCAGGAAACAAAAACAGCTTTTTATTATATCCTCTTTACTGTGTGTGTCAGTCATGAAAGTAAAACCAATCACTTCATCTCACTGTTTAAAAAATATTGTGGAAACAACGAAGTTTGATAATGTGAATGTGAAAAGCTGATATACAAAAAAACAACATTTTTTTAATAAAACTCATAATGGTGAATGGTGAAGATTATTGAGAAGTGATGACATTCTAGCCACACATTCATACCAAGGCATTTGAGTTTAATGAAATTACTATCAAGTAATATACTGTTACCAGTTCCTCAAGTTATGAGATGGTTTTAAAGTATTCTCTTTGTGTTTTAAACATCATCACTGTTGTGAAATGAATTAATTTTATTGTGGTAGCTTAATTTGGGAAATTCTTGAGAGGAAGGAAAGCTTTTAGAAAACCAATTGTATTTCTGTGTTCAAGTTCAAGGATGAAGAGTTTATTACATGAAATACCAAAAAATAAGTAGTACAGAAAAATACAGAAACAAATAACATTCTATGCTTGTGCTATTCAAAATTCTATAGCTAAAATTTCTCTAGTTTTTGCTGATCCAAATTGCTGAAATTCAGTATACAACTTAGCTTGGCAACACATGATATAATATATATAAATACTTAAAGTCATTTCAATTTCAATGATCCACTTACCTCTTGAGGTGGTACATCAAAAGAAACAGTTCTCAAATCAACCTTTGTGTAGGAATCCATGCAAGGAATAATGAAAAATAGACCTGCAAGTTTGAAAAGAGGAGTGGGTGGGGGGTAGAGTTAGAGAAGAGATCATTTAAATAATCTAATATGAGAGCACCAGTGGATGCAGAAATATTTCCTAACAATTGAAAAATTACAAACTACAATTTTTACATTTATTTTAATGTTTCGCATCATGCTTTTAATGTTATTTTTCTTCTTAAAATACAAAAATCAATATTCTTGAATCATTTGCAACACCCTGTTGTTGATACATCATCACATAATCAAAACAATGGTTCATTTACCAACAAGTAACACTCCTTTGTATGCCATTATTAGACAATGGCCGTTGTACACTATGCGGCCATATTTTAACCCTTTTATCATGTGTAATAACAGAGTGTATAGTCCCTGGATGTGCTATTTTGATACTCTGTTAAAACACACCAAGATCCTCATTTGACATCCCATATCAACTCCATTCATTTCATATACAAAAAAAAGCATGAAGACTGAGATGCACCTTCCAACAACTTTCTCACTTTAAAAGCTGTGTTAAAATGGGTGTCTCTTTGAGACTACAAAGACTATGCCAACACAAAGGCAACACAAGTATACCTTTAGCTAAGTCTTAAATTTAAAAACATGAAATGAATAGAATTAAAGGATGCACTAGGCAGATTTAAAGTTAGGATTTAGCTGTTCTGTAGGTCAGTCAAATGTCTTTTAAAAAGCCTTTGGTAAATGAGACACTTAAACCTGTTGGTGGTCGGGCAATTTCTGGGGGGGGGGGGGGGGGGGATAAGAGTTGTTGAAGGAAAGGCTGTAGGGTGTTACTGGACCAAGGCTCTCTGTTCATATTTATAATAGTGTATGTAGGATGTAACTGGACCGTGTATGTAGGATGTAACTGGACCGTGGCTCTCTGGTCATATCTATAATGGCGTACGCTTTGTTTATCTTAGTTACCTGGACCCTTGGCCCCACCAGACAGGAGACGACCAAGTCTAAAAATGACAGCTCTCTCATATTCTTGGACAACCTGGGAGGAGAATGTGGACAGTCAAATTTAAGATGATGAAATACAACACACACTAGGAACAAAATATAACACAGAGAATCCATGAGAAAATATCTTCATACACAGACACACTGTGAACAATCCTTAATAAAATAAAAAATGATAACATACCTTTTAATCTACATAAACACCGAGAACTTAACTTTTTGTATACATGTACACTGAAAACATACTGTTTAATTTACAGACAATATAAGAACATAACTTTTAATATATCACACTTGAACTATGCCTTTTAATATTCATACCTTTTTTAATACTCAGCCTCACTGAGAACATACCATGTCACAAAGCCTACCTGTAACATACCTTGTAATCTAAATACATACTGAGAACATACCTTGTAATCTACATACATACTGAGAACATACCTTGTAATCTACATGCATACTGAGAACATACCTTTTAATCTCCATACATACTGAGAATACACCTTGTAATCTAGATACATACTGAAAACATACCATGTAATTGCAATCTACATACATACTGAGAACATACAGTGTAATTGTAATCTACATACATACTGAGAACATGACTTGTAATCTACATACATACTTAGAACATACCATGTAATTGTAATCTACATACACACTGAGAACATACCTTTTAATGTACATACATACCGAGAACATACTTTTTAATCTACATATACACTGAGAACATACCTTTTAATCTACATACATACTGAGACCATACCATGTAATTTTAATCTACATACATATTGAGAACATAATTTTTAATCTACATACACACTGAGAACATACTTTTTAATCTACATGCACACTGAGAACATACCTTTTAATGTACATACATACTGAGAGCATACCTTTCACTCTACATATATACTGAGAACATATCTTTAATGTACATACATACTGAGAACATACCTTTTAATGTACACATACACTGAGAACATACTTTTTAATCTACATACATAGTGAGAACATACCTTAATGCACAGACACAATGAGAATGGGAACGTGCAGACGATCATGAGCACTGAGAGTGCCCACAGAATGTAACCACAGCAACCAATGCCTCCACTGGGCTCATCTTGCTGGTTGTCTGCAAATAGAAAACGGAGAAAAATGTTAAAGTGGACAAACTAGGAAAGAATTTTAATGTAGTGGAGACTGAACAAATTTTAGTAGAGGGGAGACTATGAAACAATTTTAACTGAAGGGAGACTATGAAACAATTTTTACTGAGGGGAGACTATGAAACAATTTTAACTGATGGGGAGACTGTGAAACAATTTTAACTGAGGGGAGACTATGAAACAATTTTAACTGATGGGAGATGATGAAACAATTTTAACTGAGGGGAAACTATGAAACAATTTTAACTGAAGGGAGACTATGAAACAATTTTTACTGAGGGGAGACTATGAAACAATTTTAACTGATGGGGAGACTGTGAAACAATTTTAACTGAGGGGAGACTATGAAACAATTTTAACTGATGGGGAGACTGTGAAAATATTTTAACTGATGGGAGACTATAAAACAATTTTAACTGAGGGGAGACTATGAATTTTAACTGAGGGGAGATGATGAAACAATTTTAACTGAGGGGAAACTATGAAACAATTTTAACTGAGTGGAGCCAATGAAACAATTTTTACTGAGGGGAGACTATGAAACAATTTTAACTGAGGGGAGACTATGAAACAATTTTAACTGAGGGGAGACTATGAAACAATTTTAACTGAGGGGAGACTATGAAACAATTTTAACTGAGAGTAGACTATAAAACAATTTTTTGAATAGGCGGGAGATTACTAGCCAATTTATTAATATAGGGGACACTACTTAATGATTTTAATAGAGAGACTGCGGACAATTTTTACAGAGGCCATAATAAGAAAACTTATAACTACTTTTTTGTTTTCTTTCTTAATGGTCACTTTTGAGTAGAATTTCTTTACTGCGGGAAAGCAATAAAAAAGGTAACCCGCCTCTGGCATTCTAATCTATGAATCAAAAAGAGTGCTTGATTTGGGGGTGGGGGGGGGGGCGGGACTGAATGACAAACATACATAGGCCTAAAAGGAACGCACTATATAACTATATAAGAATCCCAATTNCGAACTATATCAATATTCTAACGACCACCCGCTTTTACACCGCAGATTGATTTCATCGACTATTTCAGAAAAAAACAAAAGAAAATATTACTATTACGCACCAAACGCTATTACGCACCAAACGCTATTACGCACCAAACGCTATTACGCACCAAACGCTATTACGTACCAAATGCAATTGCGGTTTTTAACAAAAAAGAATCTCTTTGGGCGCAGTTATCGGGAATTTTATTTCGTGAAATTAGTGGTATCATATTTCCTTCACATTTCCTTTGCAAAACATGAAAAACTGATTTTTGGGGGTAGATGGGTTGTTTTTTTTGGGGGGTGGGGGGCGGAGGAGCTGAAAATTTGATAGAATGTGTCGTCCGCTCGACATGTTAAAAGGAAGTGGGTCAGTTAGACGTCCGAAGATTTTCGCCAGCCACCCACCGACGAACAAATGCGAAGTTAATATAAATGATTTAAAAATGCAATAGCTTGTCTCTTGCAGTAAGAGACTGCAAGGAAGGAATCAATAGATCGCCTTAGATCGCTTACAGTAGTCATACGGATAGAAATCAAATAGATTGTTGAAAACAGATGGTACAGATTAAATAAAATATATTGGCTTAACAGTTAGTTTTTCATTGCAAACACAGGAATCGGAAGAAAAAAACGGACTTATACATGTTGTGAGGTTGCAGTAACACAAACGTGAAGACTATATTTATTCGACCAGGTACCAAACGAGTTGTGTGACGGAGATTGAAGTCCTGTATCAAATATATGCTCGGATTCACCCGTCACTTTAGGCAACAAGTCTTTACGCCAGTGGTTCTCAACCTTCTTAATGCCGCGACCCTTTAATACAGTTCCTCGTGCTGTGGTCACCCCCAACCATTAAGTTATTTTCGTTGCTACTTTATAAATATGTGTTTTCCGATGTTCTTTGGCGACCCCTGTGCAAGGGGGTCGCAACCCACAGGTTGAGAACCGCTGCTTTAATTCACTGTAGGCAAAAAATCTTAATGTAGTTAGTTAAAGAAAACAGCAAGACTACTTCACTACTTGGCTAATCTCTCTCAACCGACCTTTTTTGTCATCGTGATCCATCATTGGTTTGATCTTGTTACCAGAGCCAGGTCTCTGTTCCGCCTGCTCCTCGTTGTCAGACATTATTTATAACAACGCACACCACAATTGTTGCACTGAAACCTACACCGGATGTCTTTCAAAACAAAGTCTCTGATCTACTAATAGACGAACAAAGCGGTTACTAGTACGTGTACGTTACAGAAGCTGTGATGGTGAGATTATTTGAAGACTACACTCGAGGTTGCTTTCAAAACAGTCGCAGCGATTGAATCACAGCAGTGCAGCCCTACTTCTCACAGCTCTAACAATTCCAGACGATAATACCTTTTTTTGTTTTGTTTTCTATCTCGTATACCGTAGCTAAATCCTGTGTCACAAATAACGACCTGTCATTCTAGATAAGTCCATCTTTTCCAAACACAGTGAAATAAATATCCACACGGCAAGTATTAGCAGGTGGCTCGGCACGCATACAAATACAATCTAAAGGACCTCACTGAAAAATAACAATTATCAATCCAATCTTGGTCAAAACAGTTGATCTTAATTAAAAGACTGGTTGAGATGTCAAAAAAAAAAGTAATGAAGATTTAACTCAAATATCAACCAGTCCACCGCACACCATTTCAAACAGCTGAGCCACCGGCGTGAGGACTGTCAGGGAATGAAACACTGCTCCCAGCTCAGGGAATGAAACACTGCTCCCAGCTCCTGCCCCTCAAATAGTACGGGCTATTGTCTTGACGACTATGAAACTGAGAAAACCCAGATCAACAACACACGTGATGATATGCGTGTGGTTTATTTCGGTAGTGACCTATTTCGCAATCCCCCGCTGACGAGCCCAGAGCCCCCACCGACTCGGCTTTGAAGAACACGCGCAAGATACAAACATTGCAACCAAGGCGCCCTAGTTGTAAAGGCTTTGGGGGTCGTATTGAACTGAATGATTCCGTGCTCTGACCCGCAGATCGATATTTCAGACGAATATAGCGAGCACGGCCCGTCGTCGTCGAGTTGATCCACTCGAATGGACATCACAGAAATACGAGCACCCTAGGCAAGACGAGTTCACTAGTTAACGCTCGCTGGACTTAAGACGTCCTTCTCTTCACACGAGGGGTTTGCGATGCCAGCACGCCGTGATCGTAAATCACGCAGTGAGACGACTGGTCGTATGTTGTCACGAATACGCCGTTAAATATGTCATGAATACGCCGTTAAATACACCAGCAAGATGCATTTTACGAAATTATGTATAGCACTCAAGCCTCTAGACTCAAGATATCAAATGTCTTCAAGATCTTAAACATATTCATCTATCACCATTGGAGACTCTCATTATTCGTATTATATCTCATAGTGTATGGTATCAACTCAATAGAGTTTATGAAGTGATATGTAGATGCATATGTATTTAAGCAAATAGCCATACAATGTTTCGGGGTACATTAAGAAAGTAAGCAAGCGTTTAACTAGCAGCCATAACCAGGGGTCGTACCAGGGTTTTTTTTAAAGAAAAAAAAGATGAAAGAAAAAGAAAGAAAGAAAAAGAAAGAAAGAAAAAGAAAGAAAGAAAAAGAAAGAAAGAAAAAGAAAGAAAATTGCGAACGCACCCAAGATCCCCCTCCCAAAATAAGATTGTAGGACTGGACCCCTGGTCATATACCGATAGTCGTAGGACTCGACCCCTTGTCATATACAGACAGTCGTAACTTCACTATCGGCCGGACAACAAAGGAAAAATAAAGATGTAAAGTAAAAAAAAAAAAAAAAAAGAGAAAAAATAATATTGAATTGTTTCCTGGGGCCTTTATAAGTTCCACTAGTTTCAAAAATCAATCTGTATTTTATTTTTCACAAACCGATAGTCCGTGTTTCCCTGTCTGGGTCAGGGATGGACAACCTCTTTAAGCTGAGAGTAGGGATAGACTCTACTGGTCTGGGACCGGAATGGACGATCTCTTTAAGCTGTGAGTAGGTGTAGACTCTACTAGTCTGGGAAGGGGTGGACAACCTCTTTAAGCTGTGAGTAGGGATAGACTCTAGTGGTCTGGGTCAGGCATGGACAACCTCTTTAAGCTGTGAGTAGGGATAGACTCTACTGGTCTGGGACAGGAATGGACGATCTCTTTAAGCTGTGAGTAGGTGTAGACTCTAGTGGTCTGGGTCAGGGATGGACAACCTCTTTAAGCTGTGAGTAGGGATAGACTCTAGTGGTCTGGGTCAGGCATGGACAACCTCTTTAAGCTGTGAGTAGGGATAGACTCTAGTGGTCTGGGACAGGAATGGACAATCTCTTTAAGCTGTGAGTAGGGATAGACTCTAGTGGTCTGGGTCAGGGATGGACAACCTCTTTAAGCTGTGAGTAGGGATAGACTCTAGTGGTCTGGGTCAGGCATGGACAACCTCTTTAAGCTGTGAGTAGGGATAGACTCTACTGGTCTGGGACAGGAATGGACGATCTCTTTAAGCTGTGAGTAGGTGTAGACTCTACTAGTCTGGGAAGGGGTGGACAACCTCTTTAAGCTGTGAGTAGGGGTAGACTCTACTTGTCTGGGAAGGGGTGGACAACCTCTTTAAGCTGTGAGTAGGGTAGACTCTACTAGTCTGGGAAGGGGTGGACAACCTCTTTAAGCTGTGAGTAGGGTAGACTCTACTAGTCAGGGACAGGGGTGGACAACCTCTAACCTCTTTAAGCTGTGCGTGCCGACATCGCGGTTTTTATAAGAAGCAACATTTTCGAGCGTGCCAATCCACATTGGGCCCGGGTAAGGGAGGGGGGGGGTGTAAATAATATTATTTGGTGTTTTGCAATTCAGATTTAGTGAGAGCCTTTGCATCACAACTTAAACTATTTCATCATTTAGAAAGACGGGAGGAAACTGCTACGTTCATTATATTATCAAGGAAGATGGTTTGTTTCAATTTTAAAAAAAAAAACCATTTATTTCTGTGCTGTCGGTGTTAGTATCTCATTGTTATGATCACTCTGCTTAAAGTAATTGCATTTTTTAAAAGGTTCAAATAACAGAGGAAGATGATTTCTTTCTCTTGGAATATATAATTTTTTTAGGTGGGGGTGGGGGGGGGGGCCATGCTGAAAAAACGTTAGTTGCCTCTTATAAGACGCTTGTCATTGGGTGTCCAATCCTGGCCCTATGATGTCCACTCCTGGCCCTATGATGTCCACTCCTGGCCCTATGATGTCCACTCCTGGCCCTATGATGTCCACTCCTGGCCCTATGATGTCCACTACTGGCCCTATGATGTCCACTCCTGGCCCAATGATGTCTACTCCTGGCCCTATGATGTCCACTTCTGGCCCTGTGATGTCCAATCCTGACCATTGCTATCTACTCCTGACCCTATATGGTGTCTACTCCTGGCCCTATGATGTCTACTCCTGACCCTATGATGTCTACACCTGACCCTATGATGTCTACACCTGGCCCTATGATGTCTACTCATGGCCGTATGATGTCTACACCTGGCCCTATGATGTCTACTCATGGCCGTATGATGTCTACACCTGGCCCTATGATGTCTACACCTGACCCTATGATGTCTACACCTGGCCCTATGATGTCTACTCATGGCCCTATGATGTCTACACCTGGCCCTATGATGTCTACTCATGGCCCTATGATGTCTACACCTGGCCCTATGATGTCTACACCTGACCCTATGATGTCTACACCTGACCCTATGATGTCTACACCTGGCCCTATGATGTCTACTCATGGCCCTATGATGTCTACACCTGACCCTATGATGTCTACACCTGACCCTATGATGTCTACACCTGGCCCTATGATGTCTACTCATGGCCCTATGATGTCTACACCTGGCCCTATGATGTCTACTCATGGCCGTATGATGTCTACACCTGGCCCTATGATGTCTACTCATGGCCCTATGATGTCTACACCTGGCCCTATGATGTCTACACCTGACCCTATGATGTCTACACCTGACCCTATGATGTCTACACCTGACCCTATGATGTCTACACCTGGCCCTATGATGTCTACTCATGGCCCTATGATGTCTACTCATGGCCCTATGATGTCTACTCATGGCCCTATGATGTCTACTCATGGCCCTATGATGTCTACTCATGGCCCTATGATGTCTACACCTGGCCCTATGATGTCTACTCATGGCCCTATGATGTCTACACCTGGCCCTATGATGTCTACTCATGGCCCTATGATGTCTACTCATGGCCCTATGATGTCTACTCATGGCCGTATGATGTCTACTCATGGCCCTATGATGTCTACTCATGGCCCTATGATGTCTACTCATGGCCCTATGATGTCTACTCATGGCCCTATGATGTCTACTCATGGCCGTATGATGTCTACACCTGGCCCTATGATGTCTACTCATGGCCGTATGATGTCCATCTTCACTACTTCTATTTACCGGATCTCTGCCACGGGCATCCGAGATAACGCCACATATACAACTTCTTATATCATACCGGTACACAAGATTGCCATGCAGTTCGATACGCCCATGCTAATCTAATCCTAATACCATGACATTCCAGAAAATGATGGGAACATAAACTAATCTGACAGGACGCCAGGTTGAAGGTCATCAGTTGCCACTAGCAACGCATCCTGTCCCATGCGATGTATTCGATACCACGGGGGGGGGGGGGCGCTACCTCGATGCTCTTCGTAATCCCTCCTTAGCTAAAAAGAGGCGGCGTCGACATGATGACAGAGGCATCATAACAACTTCGCCACCTAAATGATACATCAGTGACATATAATTTATTTACCCACCGCTAGCTCATTGATTTACAATAGATAAATATCAGAAGCATTCGATGCCTCAAAATTGTAGACACGCAAGAGACATTATCAATCGAATTCGATCCAAATTTTTTTTTTAATACACTTGCCACGCCGGCCTCACATAAAAAACAACACCAATTGCCGCAACCGGCCTAACATAGAAAAAACATCACCAACAGAATGAGAGGCTCCTGTTTCATTTTTGGGCGGCTCGAGTTCCGCTAACCTCATCTTTGGTGCTGCCTCCCAAGAGAGGCAACTCAATTAAGAGGACTGTATGCTCACCATTACGCCTTCGAAATCGTGTTTCGGAAGAGTTATCTCAACTGCGTGCTAGCTGTACAAGCATTTGTATGGAAGTTTGCTTGCCGTAATGGCCAAGGTCTATATAGCTGGTCACACGGTTCATTTAATTAGACGACCCCATTGATTAAGAAACAAGCTGATCCCACAGTTAATGAAACAAGCTGATCCCACAGTTTATTGAACAAGCTGATACCACAGTTTATGAAGCAAGCTGATCCCAGAGTTTATAAAACAAGCTGATCCCAAAGTTGATTAAACAAGCTGATCCCACAGTTTACTGAACAAGCTGAACCCACAGTTTATGAAACAAGCTGAACCCACAGTTTATGAAACAAGCTGATCCCAGAGTTTATGAAGGAAGCTGATCGCAGAGTTTATGAAACAAGCTGATCCCAGATTTTATGAAACAAGCTGATCCCAGAGTTTATGAAACAAGCTGATCCCAGAGTTTATGAAACAAGCTGATCCCAGAGTTTATGAAACAAGCTGATCCCAGATTTTATGAAACAAGCTGATCCCAGATTTTATGAAACAAGCTGATCCCAGATTTTATGAAACAAGCTGATCCCAGATTTTATGAAACAAGCTGATCCCAGATTTTATGAAACAAGCTGATCCCAGAGTTTATGAAACAAGCTGATCGCAGAGTTTATGAAACAAGCTGATCCCAGATTTTATGAAACAAGCTGATCCCAGATTTTATGAAACAAGCTGATCCCAGAGTTTATAAAACAAGCTGATACCAGACGTTATGGAACAAGCTGATCCCACAGTTTATGAAACAAGCTGATCCCAAAGTTGATGAAACAAGCTAATCCCACAGTTTACTGAACAAACTGATCCCAGAGTTTATGAAGCAAGCTGATCCCACAGTTTATGAAACAAGCTGATCCCAAAGTTGATTAAACAAGCTGATCCCACAGTTTACTGAACAAGCTGAACCCACAGTTTATGAAACAAGCTGATCCCAGA